CCGAGTGCTGGGATTAAAGGCGTGCGCTACCACCGCCCGGCTATTTTTTTTATTAATTTATTTATATGATGAATCAGCTTAAAGTTGGCAAATACATATTTTATAATGCAAAGGATGTCTGTATTAATAGTGTATAATCAAATAAATTGAGGAAATAACTCTGTAAGAAGAACAGTCTGGGATGCTGGGTTGAAAGTACTAGAGAGATGTTTCTGAGCAAAGGGTCTTACAGAAGTAGTTAATGATGTGACATAAGAGAAAGTGGAAAGGAAGGAAGAGATGGAAGTTAGAGTGTATGCGAATAGTGAGGATGGGAAGGTCTTTGATGAGTTTCCTTAGTTCAGTATTCAGTAAAGAAAGGCTAGTGTTGAGGTTAAGGCAGAAGTCACAGACTGGCTGCCCTATGTCAGCTGTAGCCCAGTATTGTATTATTTCTGGCGATTTCCATGATAGTTTCACATGCTGTTTTAAAATGTACACTCATTGTCAAAAACAAAATTTCAACAGAATTTATATAATAATCCAGTTGGCTTTCATTGGGTATGTACGTAGTGGTCTGCATCCCACTTGTGAAGTACAAAAGTGCTTTGGTAAGTGAATAGAGGGTCTGGGCTTACAGACAGAAAAACAAATGAAGGAAGCAGGTCTGGGATCAAACATCAGGCCAGTAAACTGAGAGGTTTTTTTTTTTTTTTTTTTTTTTTTTGGTTTTTTGAGACAGGGTTTCTCTGTGTAGCTTTGCACCTTTCCTGGAACTCACGCTGTAGCCCAGGCTGGCCTTGAACTCACAGAGATCCACCTGGCTCTGCCTCCCGAGTGCTGGGATTAAAGGTGTGAGCCACCACTGCCCGGCTGAGAGTTATTTTCTGTACATGGTTTAAGCAGGGAACACTTTATCATGGAACCTGAGGTGGAACAAATCACCTTACCCTGCTGGTGAGTCTCCTGTCTTTTTGGAAGATTGGCCCACGTTACAGTTCTGCATCATTTTACTTCATGTAGAATGAGGGTGTTCTGTCAGGTCTAATGCAGCAGCTCAGCCAGAAATGAAGACCACTTGAAACTTTTTACTTCCTATTGTGAGTGCTTGAAAAATCAGGAATTTCACATAACAGTAAGACCATCCAAGTTTGCTCAGCAGCTCCAAACATCTGAACATGGGACTTGAGTTTCTTCTCCATAGCAAATGCATAGATGTGAGTAGACTACACCTATTGGGTAGAATGCTTACATCTCTTTTGCTAAGGAAGTACTCCTTATTTCAAAACATGTCTAAACCTGGCTCACTTGCAATAGCTTAACATTTCAGCATGTAGATCATAGCTTTGAAATTAGCATGTGTCATAATTACCTCAAATGCTCTACCTCACAATATCTAAGCTTTGTATGTGGAGATGCTCATATCCAGTAGAGCTATGAGGCCCACTTCTTACAGAAATTCTTTAGTATATTTAGATGAATATGTCTTATTCTTGTTCCTTTTAGAGTGGGAAAACTTTCATTTCAATCTTTCAGGTTTGTGTGTTTATGTATATGTTTGACAACTTGTGGGAATTGAGTCAGTTCTCTCTGCCATGTGGGTTCTCAAAGATGGTACTTGGGTATTAGACAGCACATACTTGAGTCAGAGGGCATAAAGAAATCAATCTGCTACTGATCTAGAGTCTTCATCCTTGTTGGCTAGCTTTCATAGTTCTGGAAAGTGGCATGCATGCTACACGGGGAGAAAAATAATCATCAATCTTATCCATCATGATACCTACAAGTTACAACAATGACCAGTCTGACAAGATATGGCCACTGGTTCAATAGTGTCAGGAATATTATGGGAGCAACCAGCTACTTTCTGAATGGATTAGGGGCTACTCTACAAGTTGGAACGCATGCCTGGCACTGTTGCTGATGTCAAGAACATATGGGTAGGTAGGTTTAGGCTCTAGTGGAAAACCTACTGCTATTATTCTGCTAAACGAACATAATATTGAACCAATTCCTAATAACTTATTGTACTTAGATGGTTGTTAATAAGAAGATCCACAACTGGTGAATATACAGAGAACAAGAGATTTCAGAGTGCTCATACCTAAATGAGACATCTATATCACAACTCACTAACCAAGGCTCAGAGATCATCATAGAAGAGGGAATGTAAAAAGTGTAAGAACCAGAAATGGTAGTTGACTACAGTGAAATAATGTGTTATGGACACAGCAGAACAATTGCATGAATTAACTCACAGTGATTGTGTCAGCATGCACATGACTATGCAAGATGAAGTCAACCAAAATCCTAGTACAAAGTCCTACTACTAGCTGAGGCACTAGTGGCAATCAAAGGCTTCTGGGAAAAGGAGTCAGTTTTCTTTAAGCATGACATCTCTGAAAAGCTACTCATGATCCAGTAGATGTCCCTCATGGTCATATTGACAACATGAAGTGGACTCTGTGGTTTAAAGAAAAAAAATACATGAAATTGGGTGGGAATAGTAGTTAAAGGGATGAGGGAGGATTTGGAAGGAAGAATACAGAGGAGCAGAACTGATCAAAACACATTATATCCATGTATAAATTCTCAAAGAATAAAACAAGAAAAAATATTTATCGTGTGCATGTGCGTGCATGCGTGCATGTGTGTGTGTGTGTGTGTGTGTGTGTATGTGTGTGTGTGTGTACATGTACATGTGCATGACATTGTAATGTGTGAAAGTCAGAGGAAACTTGTAGAAGCCAGTTCTCTCCTTCTACCACATGGAACCCAAGGATGGAACTCAGGTTGTCAGGCTTGGCAGTGAGCATATTTACCATCTGAGCCATCTAGTCTACCCTTTAGTCTTGGTCTTAATCTTTGTCATTCTTAAATCTGAAATCAGTAAAACATTGGAGAGAGTGGTGATGAAGTGAGGACAAGGTAGCTCTGCAACTATCAGCAGAACACATTTGCCTTCACCGTTGTACGTAGACGCCATGATGGCGTTTTTAGTTAAGAAAGGTGTCTCTAGTGTTTGTGACCCACTTGAAGTCTCCTATGATTATTAGTGCCATTAAACTGGCAATCTGCAGAGTAGTAGGTAAAGGCTACTACTACTCTTTAGGGCCATGGACTATATAACAAGTTGGGACTTCCAACCTGACTATATAACTCATATGAATGTGCCCATTAAGTGACGAGACTTACTGGAATCAAGATACTGATTGATTTTAGAATGTATGTTTGTACGAAATTCCATAAAGAAATGTATCAATTTGCATGCTAAAGTTAAAAAAGAATTATAGGAGAACATCCACTGTAGTAATCCATCATATGAAGTCTTGACAATGCAAACTGCAGGGAAACCAGATAAGCAGTTGTGTGGAATTAAAGCCCTGGAAAAGAGCTATAGAGAATGGCCTTTTGTCACAAAGTGTTATGGATACTTACTGTGGCAGAAGTTTCATAGAATGTATACTTATCTTTAAAATATTCTCATATTAATTCATTGAGAATTTCATGCAGTGTATTTTGAACATATTCACTCCCTCAGTGCCCCTCTCCACTTACCATCTCCACTCCCCATCTTTTCCTACTTAACTTTGATATTACTTCCTTTTCTTTTTTCCCCCAATCAAGTCCAGTTTGTGTTTCCCAACTAGTTTTGTGATTGGTGCCTCATTTTTTGTGTTCAGCTTACCAGGGGTCACATTGTTAATGAAAACTGACTCTCTTCCAGTTTAGCTCCTCAGCTAATGCTAGGATCATGTGTCTATCTTTTACTCTCTATACTGGGATTTTGTCTGACTGGAGCCTGTGCAGTTTTTGTGCATACTGTCACAATGGCTGTGAGTTTATGTGTTTATTGGATATAAATTATGCATTGACAAAATTTACTTCCCTTAAAAAAAAGGATGATGACTGAGCTGTATCTCCAGCATTGACCCTGGTGTTATCACCACACACATATTTAGAAACACATATGGCATCATAGACTGAGCCTAGGCCAACAAAGGAACTCTATGATTTAGACACAAAGGTGTAGATAAAATTCTAAACAGTCTTAGTAAATAAGAAACAGAGCCAAATATAGAGGTAATAGCCAAAGAGATCAGAGAGCCACAACTACCTTATCTTACCACCTCGCTTCTGTCGCTTCCCCAAAGAGAACTTCTTCCTGTCTGACATGTTTTTATTGCCTTTCTGTTCTGCTTTCTCATTGGCTCTAAGCCCAGCCACTTAACTTCTTCATCACTGCCTGTCTATACAGACCTCCAGGTCTCTATGGTTGGTACTGGGATTAAAGGCGTGTGTCACCACGCTTGGCTGTGTCTTTACCACACAGAGACTCTGCCTACCATGTGATCAGATTAAGGGCATGTGCTACCACCCACCGCTGGACTTCTGCTTAATGGCTATTTGACCTCTGATCTCCAGGCAACTTTATTTATTAACATACAAATAAAATATCACATTTCATCACAAATAAAATATCACCACACAAAGGAAATCCTAAGTATCTTCATTTCATTGAGCCTAATATTTCTTTAATAGAATTTTTGCTTGTTTTAGACTTTCATACTTGAGTACAATATTTACATCATTTCCACTCACACCTCTTCTTCCTCTAACTCTTCTGAGGTCCTTCCTCAGATTCATGACCCCTTCCTCATAGAGTGAGAATTCTTGAAATTAGATGTAAGATGAAATAAATTCTTCTATCTACTTATTAACTATGCTCAGCTTTTACCAGGTCATCAGTTTACTTGGGACCAGTCCAATTTCAATATTCCCTGGTGGGAATGCTTTGGAATTTAAAAACTTGAATGTGTCCTATTTTGTATCTTCTCCTCAGGAGCAATATAAAAATGGGTTACATAGTACATCCATATTCTAAAATTGACATACGTAGCAGCTAATAACATTTATTCAGGTCTTAGGTATTTTAAGGTACGTGTTAAAAACTTGAAAAACATTTAATTTGCATTGCAGAAAATAAGTACTGATTTTTAAACTTTTCATTTTATTTTTAGCTTACAGGTTGCAGTGGACCAAAGGAAAATATTTCATACATTGAGCAAAATAAAGAAAACCAGTGTTTTGAGGATGAAACTGAAGAAAAAACATGTGTGAGTGTTGTTATCTTTGTTGCTATACTTAGCACATTCCATGTGTCCTGTTTTCCAGAGATGTCATTTTCCACCAGGGTTCCAATAGAAGAAAATGGATAACATAATTTCAAGCTTTTGTCTGGTCCACATTTTGACTGAGCTGACACTGAATGTGTGTCATTTTGAGTAGTTATGGGTTTCATTCTGGGGATCTGTGTTTTGGTGCTGTGGATTTAAGTTTCTGGCAATGATACAAACATTTGCATCATTGAAAAAGAAATCCTTTCACATGTAGAGTGTCATTTAAATGATTTAAAACATTCATAATATACTAAATATGCATCCAAGAAAGGAAGCCATCTGACTTGGTGGTGGTTCTGCTCTTCTTTGAAGATGAAATGGAGGAGTGTGACTGTCCCCAATGGACTCATGCATCTTTGGGCAATAAGCTTTGGTCTCTAAGACACTTCCTAACAGTATGGGTCATGGTCTTCTGGGTCTTACTATCTTTCCTCCCTCCTTCTCTGTGATGTGCCTTGCATCTTAGGTATTGAACATGTACTAATTGGGGCTGGTAATCCCATGGTCCCTTATCCTCTGCATTTTGACCAGTTGTGGGTCTTGTAAAAGCTCCCTCCTATCTGTTGCTAAGGGAAATGTATGCCATGATGAGTGAGAGTTGCACTTGCCTGTATATATAAGATTAAGTATTTAAGATATAGTTGGATACTATATTTGTTTAGGAAACTTGAATAGTAAGTTCTTCTCTAGAGACAGTTGATTAGCTTGATCTGTTTGGGAGGCATGCAGGCAGTGGGACTGGGTCCTGTACTCAGTGCATGAGTTGGCTGTTTGAAACCTGGGGCTTATACAGGGACACTTGGCTCAACCTGGGAGGAGGGGACTGGACCTGTCTGGACTGAATCTACCATGTTGAACTCAATCCTCAGGGGAGTCTTTGCCCTGGAGGAGATGGGAATGGGCGTGGGCTGGGGGGAAGGGGGGGGGCGGGAAGGGAAAGGGGAGAACAAGGGAATCCGTGGCTGATATGTAGAATTAAATTATAAAACAATAAAAAAGTTCTCCTCTAGAAACTAAGATCTACAAATGACTATACTAAATGATATTACAGTATATATGGCATGAATTTCACAAGGCCCCACCCCAAGATGAAGAGCTATAGGCAGTCAATGTCTACTGAGAGGGGGAAAAACAGTTTTCTCTAGGGATTATACAGGGTATACAATTCAAAATGGTCAGTCCTAAACACAAGAACATACAAGCAACATCAAATAGACTCAATAGGTTTTACACACACACATGCATACTCTCTCTCTCTCTCTCTCTCTCTCTCTATATATATATATATATATATATATATGTGTGTGTGTGTGTGTGTGTGTGTGTGTGTGTGTGTATGTGTGTAATAACAATTTGGGAAGAAAGAGACTTGAATTTGAGAGGGATTGGAGGCAACATGGGAGAAGTGGAAATGACGTCAATACCATACGCATGTGTGAAATTCTAAAACAAAGATTTTAAAAATTAAAAAGAAAGAAAACAAACTTTTGGACTTCCTGGCTGTTCCCAAAGATATTTGTATTTTTCCTTCCTGAAGATGAAATCATCAAGCTTAAGTGGGAAACAAATGTTCCAGTTTGTCAGGCAGATGAACTAAATACATTCTGGACACATAATTGAGAAGCTCTTGTGCTTTTATCATAGGGAAGCATCCAGCCCATCTATGTTGCTTAAACTTTAACCCATCAGTTTCTTTTGCTTATAGGAGAATTGTAAGATTTTTAAGGAGACACTGAATATAAATGTATTTACTGCTGCGTAACCAACAGTAGGTTTATGATGTTGTTCAAATGAATTGCATGTTTGACATATTCTTGATGTGGCATTTTTATTAAAATTTGGATAATAAAAGTAAAGGCATCATTGTGAACTTTAGGATTCTATTGATGGAGGAACATTTTACATTTTGATGTGTTTCTTTTCTTTTTTTTAATTTCACTTCTCTATGTTCTTTGAGTAATTTAAAATAATTGGGAACATTTTGAGGGGGTATGTTCTTTGTTTAAATAAATCTGCTAAGTAAAAGATAAAGTTTAGAGGTTTAATGTTCCAGAGTTCTGGTGAGAAAACATGAGGATGTTTAATCAACTCCCGGGGAAAAGGGACACACACACACACACACACACACACACACACACACACACACAAAGAATGGGCAGCTCTTGGTGACTAGGTAAATCAAGAGGTGGTTTAAGGTCAACAGCAGGGATAGCAGAAATGAAAGCTAACAGATGGATAAGAGAGTAAGTTGAATCACAATATCTTAAATCTGAAAGTAATGGAAGGGAGCAAAATGAAATATCTTGAAAGAAGGTATGTATACTCATTGAAAATTAAGTGTAGTATCCAAAGTATCTAAAGGACAGTGTGAGAGAAAAGAAAGGACAAAAATATCCGCCGTTTACTACTAATTGGTTGGTGTGTCCACCTCTGAACCTGTGGATTGTATATGCCCCAGCGTAGCTATAAATGTGACCTAACACAAAATCATAACCTAACTTACAACACAAATTATTTTCTTTTGGTAACTCAATTGCGTTGTTCTGAAGCCTGAATTTTATAGATGACAAAGTTGTGCTGCACTATCAAGAGGTTGGCCATCCAGACCCGGTAGGATTTGCCTCCTGTCTTGTTATAAGTAGTTATGTTACCTCAAGCAGACTAAATGATGTGTCTCTTTATTTGTAAGCTGAGAAATTACCTTTTGTGTGTGTGCTGCAATACTTTATCAAGTAGCCAAATGCTCTGTATATTTTATAATTTCAGAGATATAGCTAAATGCTTCCTAAATTTACTTTATTTTAGTATTTTTGATAACTAATTTTATTTTATTTTTTGGTGATAAAGGCACTGATGGATACCTTACAAATACCACAATGAATGGGCTAGAAAGCTTGTTGTCTTTAAACAACAGTACAGAGGTCACCAGGTAGAGTGAAATTTGACTGTAGGTAACATATTAGTATTGGAAGAATCATGATGGAGGAGCAAAATATAACTGAAACTAAGAATATTTGGGTCATTTTCTCATATACTTACTGCCTAGATGTTTTGGGGCAAGTCACTCTGCTTTTTTTTTTAAATCTACATCTTAAGTAACAGAATTGATGAAATAAATTGTGACTCCTTTAAATATTTTATTTATATCACTGAGGCAGAATGTTGAATTATTTTAGAGAATTTCACTGTTGCTTGTATCACTTTTCTGTTGCTGTGATACAATATTATGACCAAGAACAACTTAGAGAAGAAAGAGTTGCTATGTTTTATGGCTCCAGAGGGCGAGTCCATATTGGCTGGGAAGGTACAGTATTGTGGCAGGATCAGGAAGCTGACTGACCACATCTTTATCCATATACAGGAAACAGAGTGAGGAGGAGGGAAAACAGGATATGTGGTAAAGCTATACATCCTTAAGGCCTACCCCAAGTGATTTCCTTCTTCCAGCAAGAGTTTCCCTCTTAAAGGGACAATAACTTCTTCCAAAACTTCTTTCCACTAGCTGGAAACCAAGTATCGGATGGCATTTCTTATTCAAACCACCATATTTTGGTTCCTTGGCCCTCCTAGACCTATAGATATCTCCTCATGAAAACAATGCATATTTCTATCTTCAAAAGTCCCCATAATCTGTTAGTTTCAACACTACTCAAAAATCCAAAGTCTCTTTGACCCCCTGTAAAATAAAAAATATAACAAACAAACAAAATTAACATCAACAAATTACAAACAATGGCACAGAATATACATTTCCATTCCACAAAAAATGACTGTGGGAAAAATGAGGAAAGATTGGACCAAAGCAAAACAGAAATCCAACAGGAAAAACACCAGCCAAATCCTGTATCTCTATTTCCAATATCTGGAGCTTCAATTTCAAAGGTTTAGATGGCTCCACTCTTCCAGCTTTGCTGCCTACAATATATACGCCTCTTTCTTAGGTGAGTTCATTTCCTGTATTCAGATCTTTTTGGCAGATGTCTCATGGCTATGGAATCTCTAGCATCTGTGGTAATCCAAGTTTTACCTTACTTCTCGGGGTAAGTAGCTTCATTCAGGGACCTTCTAAGGCCTACTTGAAGGGACTCTGACCTTTCTACATATTGTCTGGCCTCATCCAACTCTCTAAAACTGTGTAGGAATAATTCACAATCCCCTTAATCTTGTATCTTTCATACTTTCAAAGTTAGTACAACATGAAAGACAGTGCTGAATTTGGCTGTCAACTCAGGACACTTGGCACATTGGCAGCAGTTTTTGTATGTGGAAGCAATTGCTTTCTAGGATCAGGGAACTTCTTAGGCTTTCTCCTTCCACTGGTGGAAAGTTAGCTGGGTAGGATCTTGCCCTCAGGGCATCCTTCCTACTCCAATGAGCATAGAAGGCTTCTCTTTAACATTCCTAAACTCTTTATATGACTTGTCTGCAACATTAAGCTTTCCAATGCTCTTTTCCTCTCCAAATGTCATATTTTTAATTTATTCTGTCCCATAGTTTATGCTTTTTTATTATAGACCTATGCAGGACCAATATGTAGTAGCCACCCCAAAGACTCAATGTTATGCTGTCTTGAAATTTTCTCCACTCAGAAAATTAGTCCATGAATTTTTAAAATTAGCCAAATTAGGCAAATCTTAGGACAAGTCAGAATACAGCCAAATTCTTTGCCAAAATATTACAGTAACAGCATCTTGCCCAGTTACCAATGTCTTGTGTCCCATCTGAGACCTCATGAGCCATAGCTATACTGTATGCATTACTCTCAGCACTACTGACTTCCAGGATCCTACTAGAATAGCCCATTAAGCTCTGACTATAACACTCAGCAGTTTTTCTAGTCCAAAGTTCCAAATTTCTCCAATTCCTCCAAATAACAATATGGTCATATTCTTCTGAGGAATAGCCGTACTTATTTGGTATCAGCTTCTGTATTTGTT